TGTACCACTTGGCGGGCTCGGCTTCGAGCATGTCACGGTCAGCGGTCGTCGTCAAGTGCTCGTAGATTTCGTTGTACGTCAAGTTCTTCTTGACCGACTTCATCAAGGCAATGACACCGGCAACATGCGGCGCAGCCATCGACGTACCGGCAAAATCGGCGGTGGAATGGTCACTCTGGTTAGTCGCCGAGAGAGTGTAATAGCCGGGGGCCGAGATTGTCGGCTTGATAACCGTATGCCGGACGCCGCTCTTGTCTCGGTACAAGGCGGGACCCTTGGACGAAAAGTACGCGAGCTTGGTGCGTTCGTTGCTGGCGGAACCAATGGCGCCGACCGAGATGACGTTCGGATAGCCGCCGGGGTTGCCCGTCGTTGCGCAGGCGGGGCCGTTGTTGCCGTTGGAGACGACCGGAATGATACCGGCCTTATGAAGGGCAGCGACTGCATCTTCGTAGATCGGGTCGTACCACTTGCTACCCCACGAGTTGTTAACGACGTGGGCACCCTTGGAGCAATCGGGGTCTGTGCCGTCCGGCAGCGTCGGGCAGATCATAAATTGAAGGCACTCGAGCAGCGCCCAAGACGAGCCTGTTTTCCCGCTCAGACCGCGGCACGAGATCCACTGCGCACCGGGAGCGACGCCGAACCCGTTCTTGCCCGTCATCGTGCCGATCGTGTGCGTACCGTGGCCATTCAAGTCCACGGGTAGTGCCGAGTTGTCGTAGGGGTCGTACCAACCATGATCGGCCCGCCACGAGTCCTTGATAAGCTCGTGCGTGTGACGGGCGCCCGTGTCGATCGAACCAATGATGACGCCCGAGCCGTTGGTCGTCTTCCAGACTTCCGGCGCACCGACCGTCTGCACACCCCACTGGGGGTTAGGCTCATTCGCGGCGGTGGTTTCCGAGACCGCCTGTGTGAGCACGGGGTCGAGCGAAATCTCCGGCAGGTGCTCGATCGTCTTGATACCGCGGTGCTGCGCGAGCTTGTCGACGGTGGCTTGGTCGGCCGCCTTGATGAACGTACCGGGCACGATCCAAAGCGTCTTGGTTTCAAGACCCTTGGTGACATC